TACTGGGGCCCCCGTTTCTGTGATGAACGCAAAATTTTTTCGCAAACTGAAGAAAGTGACCACATCTCTCTGTGGCATCGTGCTGTCCACGGCTAGCGCGCAACGCATTCATCCCTCGGCTGTGTATACGGCGCGCGTCGTCATCCAAGACGTTTTGTACATCGTCCAATTTTTTGTACTACCATCTTGCTCTCATGACCTTATCCTGGGTAGGGATTTCTTATCAGGTCATGAAGCTATCATCGATTGTTGCCGTGCTGAAGTGTCCCTAGTGCCAAGTAGTGAATTTCCATCGCCCGACCATTCACCAATGCTCTGCAAACTCATCGCTGACGACGACATCACCTTGCCTCCAGAAGCTTCAGTCCCTATTAGCCCTTCATGTGTGGGGCAACCTGATGCCACGGTGGTGTTTACGCCATCCTCTATTTTTACTGAACGCAAGGGCATCGTGCTCCCATTTTCCGTTCTTACAATTGTGTCTGGTTTAACCGTAATGCTGGTTACCAACCACTGCAACTACTCCATTGGCTTGCTTCGTGGTGAAACGTTAAGATATGTGCAACCTGTCGACCATATCAATGATATTATTCTTCCCGACGAAACGCCATGTCACATTGCCGCAATCACTCAGGCGTCAAGCCGCAATCACTCAGGCGCCATCAAGCTCACCAGCCTTCGGCAATGCCATTGACGCAGACCTTCCCCCTTCGCATCGCAGCCAACTTGTTGCTCTCCTTAACAAGTTTCGCTCTTCTTTCGACTTTCAGAAACCTACTTTGGGCCGCACCACGACTGTCACTCATACTATTGACACCGGCTCACATTCGCCTTTGCGACAGCGTCCTTACCGCGTTTCTGCCGAGGAGCGCCGCGTCATTACGGAGCGAGTAGATGACATGCTTAAACGTGGAGTCATACAGCCTTCTCAAAGCGCTTGGTTGTCACCCGTGGTACTGATAAAGAAAAAAGATGGCACAGTTCGATTTTGCGTGGACTATCGCCACTTAAACAAGATTACAAAGAAAGACGTCTACCCGCTACCACGATTAGACGATGCTCTTGACTGTTTACAAGGCGCCGAGTACTTCACATCCTTGGATCTGCGTTCTGGGTATTGGCAGGTGCCAATGGCTGAATGTGATCGCCCTAAAAGAGCCTTTGTAACGCCGGATGGCCTATATGAGTTCAAAGTCATGCCATTTGGACTCTGCAACGCGCCTGCGACGTTTGAGCGCATGATAGATACCATATTGCGGGCCCACAAGTGGAAAACTTGCTTGTGTTACCTAGATGACATTGTAGTCTTTTCAGCTGATTTCCCGACACATCGTCGTCGTCTCCACGAGATTCTGACGTGTCTAGCTTCTGCAGGCCTACAACTTAACACCAAGAAGTGCCACTTCGCAGCCCAAAAACTAACCATCCTGGGACACGTCATCACAAGAGACGGTGTTCTTCCGGACCCCGATAAGCTTCGAGCTGTCGCTGACTTCCCAATGACCACATCACTGAAAGCCCTAAGAAGTTTTGTTGGTCTTTGCTCTTACTTTCGTCGCTTCGTGCGCACCTTCGCGTCCATCATCGCTCCTCTGACTTGTCTGCTTTCCAACAGCAAAGGTATATCTGCATGGTCACCTCCATGTGACGACGCATTTCACCAGCTGCGCCGCCTGCTGACCTCGCCACCTATTCTTCGCCACTACGACCCCACTGCTGCCACAGAAATTCACACCGATGCAAGTGGCATTGGTCTTGGTGCAGTTTTGGCGCAACGGAAAGGCACCCAAGCTGAATACGTAGTCGCCTATGCAAGTCGCGCTCTCAAGAAGGCTGGATTGAATTACTCCGTGACAGAGAAGGAGTGTTTAGCCATAATCTGGGCGCTTACGAAGTTTCGCCCATACCTTTACGGCCGTCCTTTCGACGTGGTCACAGACCACCACGCACTATGTTGGCTGTCCACCTTGAAAGACCCGTCTGGACGTCTGGGGCGTTGGGCACTTCGATTGCAGGATTACGACATCCATGTCGTATATCGTTCCGGTCGCAAGCATGCGGACGCCGATGCACTTTTCCGATCGCCATTAACACCAGATGTGGCTTCTCTGTCACCCCCTTTTACCACCTTGTCACCACTCGACACCACTGACATGCTTTCGGAGCAGCGTAAAGACCCATATCTTGCCTTGTTAGTCGACTACCTTACCGATCCGTCTTCTGTCCCTTCCACGAGAGCGCTACGCCGGCAAGCAGCCCACTTTCCCTTACGAGACAACATTCTGTACCACCGTAACTACATGCCTGGTGGTCGGAAGTGGCTCCTTGCTGTCCCAACTCATATGCGCTCTGACATCTGCATGAATTTCCATGCAGATCCCGAAAGTGCTCACGAGGTGTTCTGAAAACCTACGAAAGGCTGCGCCAACGATATTATTGGCGAGGAATATATCGCTTTGTGCAGATATACGTTCAGTCTTGCACCACTTGCCAACAGAACAAGACACTTCCGCGGCACCTTACTGGCGTGTTACAGCCGCTCCCGTGCCCGGCTCGCCCATTCGACCGCGTGGGTATAGACCACTATGGCCGCCTCCCATATAGTAGCTCTGGAAACCAGTGGATTATTGTCGGAGTCGATCATCTGACACGCTACGCTGAGACTGCAGCTCTACCGGCAGCGACCGCCCACGAATTGCGCTCTTCATTCTCCGCAGCTACATTCTACGCCATGGTGCTCCGCGGGAATTACTCAGTGATAGGGGTCGAGTGTTCCTGTCGGAGGTCATCCAAGCTATCCTCGCTGAATGCAACATTATCCACCGGAAATCTACCGCATACCATCCACAGACAAATGATCTTACTGAGTGGTTCAACCGCACACTTGGTGGCATGCTGAGGATGTACACCTCCTCCGACCACACTAACTGGGACGCTGTATTGCCCCTTGTTACCTTCGCTTATAACACCGCGACGCAAGCGACTACCGGTTTTTCGCCGTTCTTTCTATTGTACGGCCGCGAACCTTGCCACCCACTCGACACTATACTCCCGTACCGCCCTGATGCATCTGAGTGCTCCCCGCTCTCGGAAGTCGCCAGATACGCTGAAGACTGCCGTCAGTTGGCTCGGTCTCTGACAAGTGAGGCTCAAGGTCTACAAAAGTCTCGACACGACGACGCTCACCACATAGCTCCTACATTTCGTGCTGGCTCCCTTGTGTGGCTTTCGGTGCCCCCGCACGTTCCTGGCCTGTCTTCTAAACTTCTGGCCCGGTACCATAGTCCGTACCGTGTCATTGACGCGACCTCCCCGGTGAATTACATCATCGAGCCATTAACACAATCACCAGATTTGCGCCGTCGAGGACGCGAGACCGTACACGTCTACCGTCTCAAGCCCTACTACGACCCCTCATTGTGCCTACTCCCTGAGTCGCCAGGATGGCTACCCTTCACCCCGGGGGTATTGTAGTGAAGCATACGCACCAACGCGTATGCGCCTTCGGAAGACAACGAAAAGCCCGTGCTCTGCTTACGCGAGAGTGTGTGCCACCTTTGCCAGACTTTGCTGTACTCCCACTTTCCGTTGCGACCTCGTTGCGACTTCTCTGCTCGAATAAACGTCATCACAACAGCAAGAGTACAAATTACCTGTAATGTCATTGCTTTTTAGTTTGCTGAGTTTTAAAAGCGCGCTCTTTCTGCAAATGGAGACACTGCAGCGAGTGAAGTCACCTTTGTGCACCCTGTAACTAGAACTTAATCGTTCTCGTGAAAAACAAAACGTATGTAAATTTCTGTTCCATCGCGAGACAAGCGCCACGCGCACGGCCACCCACGCACTGTTAGGAAAAGTACACGTTTATATGAAGCAAAGTGCCAAGCACGCCCTTCACTCTATCTCAGCATTCTGCTATGAATGCTGAGAACACGCTGGTATTTCCACCGAGATCGACGCAGCATTCGCGGTAAATGGTGTGTACAAATAGCCAACAGTTAAAGCGAAGTATATTCCCTTTGGATGCTAAGTGGTGAACGCCACGCGCTGGGGAGCGAGAGGTCAGCGGTTCCATTCCTTGAATCGGAAATTATTAATTGCGAAGCCTTCTTTGGCGCACATCAACGACATTGACCATAATTGTTCCTCTGCGTAGCTGCCTAAAACATTCAGCTCTCCTGGCCGTTTAGATATTGGAATCTACACCGAAATTGGTGTGCTAATTTATGGGTGTATGACAAGCATAAGTCACCACACATAACATGAAAATAATGACATGTATGTCATAAATATCATGATATACATGACATTGTCTTGCTGCTCTTGCGGTGACATGACATAACGCAAAATTAGTATGGCATGACTGGCTGCATGTTTAACATACGTAAGGAACAGGCCCTAACGTGGAAATTATAAAATGCATCTCATGTAAGTCATGACTACACGCCACATTCTTGGTGCACTCGTGGCTGCTTTGCTAGCTTCACATATACCTAATTTTTATTAAGTGACGTAATTGAATGACGAAGGTATGTAACTGGTGCAAGCATGATAATCATGGCATGCTTCTTATGTAAGAATATGACTACATGCCATGCTTATAAAGTGCTAGTGGTCATTTCACTAGCTTCACATATGCCAAATATACTATTACGTAACGTGAATGAATGGCGAACGTATATGACTGGTGCGAAAATGATAATCACGACATACGTGTCACGTAAGAACATGACTACATGCCGCACAGATGAAGTGCTCGCGGCTGTTTCACTAGCTTCACCCACTAAATTTGGTGTTACGTGACGCGAATGAACGACGAAGGTAAACAACACGTGTAAACACGATAATCAATACATTAGTGTCATGTAAAACGTGACTACATGCTACACTCATATCGCACTCGCAGCCGTTTCGCTAGCTTCACATATGTCCAAGTTGGCACTACGCGACGCTGGCCTTCCAGCGTTTACCATAAAGTTGTGACTTTTTTTATTTTGCAGGAAATACGCACAGACAAAATTACACTTTTTACAAAGCAGGTAAGTACGCCGCTGCATTCGCATACTCCCTTGAGGAAATAGGACGAGTGTGTTGCGGCCTATGTATTATGGCAACAGCGACTATTATTTTACAGTAAAACCACATGTAACGAATGTTTTCTGCTGTTGTGCATTTCTGGCGCATCTTGCTTCATGTGTACAGCACCTCATATGCCATATACGCTACGAAATTAGGAACAAGCAAGACTGCTTCATTGGCGACTTGTATACAAGTTCGGGCTCTATACAGAATGATAAAGTTAGTTGAGCAATAATTATTTTCCAATTATTAAAGCAATCTGCAAAGCTACCAATTTCCTGCTGGAATCACGGTGACCCAAAACAGATTTGTTTAGAATTAAAAGCATCTCACTATGATCTCTTTTTTTTCTGTAGCTTGAAGCAGCCTTTGAATTCTCTCTATACTGTGGCAGTAGTCTAGAATTTCATTTCGATATTCGAGTTGACCCTTGGTATGTTACGAATTAGTAAATTTAGTAAATTTTTGTTTTTAGTTGTGCATTTGTTCAGCAGAAAAAAACATGCGTATCTTGGAGTTTGTGAATACGTTACAACTTTGAGACCACAAATACTGCAAAATATGGCCTAAAAGGCCGGTAGTTCTCGTTTCGACCATGTTGACATTACGCACCTTTTTTTTATTTTTTAAGTAAAGTTGGTATGCGCTCTTGCAAGCAAAATTGCAGTATCACAGTTTCAGGACGAGAACGAATCAGCTGTAGTGCGTCGGCTTCTGTACATGCGCCATGCCTAGTTCCAGCTTCATTGAAGGTGCTTAGAAGGCTTTACAATAAATGTGACCATTCGCATCCTGCGTGTGATCTGAACAGAATGAGCTTGAACAATGTGGCGCACTTGGCACCTCCTCTCTTTCGCGGGGCCAACTGGGCCACCAAAGCCGCTTATGTATTACTCTCTATTCATGCAGCATGTAACGTTTCAAACTGATCGCTGTGCTTGCGTAACATCCAGAATAAACTTAGCCACCCTTTTACTGTATTTAATCCTTGCAGGGTTATCTCAAACAATCTCAAAGCTTCTAAAACATGTATGGGAGTGGCGGCTCTTAGCACGCCGAGCGTAGGAAGAAGCTTCAGCCAACCTTTAACATTTAGCCTACAACAGCTGCTGTGCCTTCGGCATAGAGTGTTGCCAACAGACTTTAATGTTGCAACCTGACCACATCAAACTAACGCGGCAACCAAGACAGAAAAATACCCAGAGAGTGTCAGTACGACTGATACCGCAATAAGGACCTGTGCTACTTCAAGTAGAGGAATAGAATAACAAGATTTGTCTCTGAATGTGATCTTCTGGGTGGTTTTTTAAGATATATACCTAAATATATACTATATTTAGGTTAGCCTTTTTTCTGGAACGAATACATATATAGCGATATGTGTGTTAAGGAGAAACGTAGAAGCAATCTGGACGTCACGAAGTAATTTATTTCACTAGAGTACCGACCTATCCATTGAACTATCCTTCTTGCGAAACAAACAAGCATGCGTACATGCGTACTTAACAGCTCACTATTATACAATTGTGACTATGCTCGTGCGCATGATTCCCCCGTCTATTGCATGACTTAGATGATGACTCCCATGGTCGTGTTCAGCGACACCGTATAGAGAAGTATTGAGGTAGCCATCTGTTTGATGAGCCGAGAACCTATCGGTCAATATGCGAAGTTCTGACCAGCGGTGGGCAAAACTGAGAGTGGTTGAGAAGCGCACGTGCAACCGTAAACGTAACAGGGGTAAGCTGTCTGCATTAAAATATTGCTATACATCAAGAACAACATACAGGGTGTTTAAAAATGCGTCCAGTAATATTTTAAAAGTGACAGAAAAAAAGGTATATGCTTGCTACTCGCGGCGTTGCCTTCCCGTGGCAGAAGGCAGCTTCAGATGGGTACAAACCTTAATTATGGCAGTAGTTATAGAAATTAACAGAATAAACTTTTGAACCAGTGGTAATAGCCGGTCGAGTTAAATGGACGAATTGAAGCCCTTCCTACGACTAATCTATAGCCAATTTGAGATTTTGAAAAATCGGCCTCTGGTAATCACTGCGGACCGATGTAATCTGGCCATTTTAGCTGGCTAAACCGAAACCAATGCACCGAACAGCGCATCTACCATTCACCTCGACAACACCCTGAATGAAGATACTGTTTCCCTCACATTGCGACAGAAGAATAATCGAGTGTCGACAGGCGGCCTCGAAGTGAGTGTCTAAATTGACGATTGATAACAGCGAAGGAAACAGTGCCGTCACTGAGGGCGTTGTCGAAGTGAATGGTACATGAACTCCACCGTGCGGCGGTTTCGGTTTCTTCGGGTAAATCAGGCTCATTGCATTGCTCCGCGGTGAATATCAGTGGCCGCTTTTCCGAAATTTCAAAGTGGCTATGGACTATTCCGGGGAAGGGCTTGAATTCGCCCATTTGACTCGACCAACGATCACCACTGATTAAAAATGTAATTGCGCTAAATTCTACACTTACTGCCGTATTAAGGTTTTACGCATCTAAACATGTCTGTCTTCTGCCACAGGAAAAGCTACGCCGTAAGTAGCACGCAAATACCCTCTTTCTGTGATTGAAAAAAAAATCATTAAACACATTTATTGAAACATCCCGTATACTATTACTTCCGCCACTTCGTAATTATGAAAATGCTCTTTTTGTTGACATTTAAGGTCACCAGTTCTTTCTTAATCTTCGCTGCCTGCAATCACAAAACATCAGACACCAGTTTTGAATTATCTACTAGCTGTAAGACGTGACAAACGTTTAATAAAAATTCCCCAGAAAATCTTTTGAATCAACTGCCCCTAAAAGCATGGTGCCGTAATATCTTGTTGGCAACATCAATTGTAGTATTTTTCACCTGTGGTATGTCACGTTGATGACATGATGAACCTCATATGTTACTGCATATGTTTACTTTGCCATATTTTATCACTACTTGATATACTACGATAGAAACAGAGCATTATTCATTGTAAGCTGTCATTTTAAATAGTAACCATGTAACCATTTGTTGGCGTTTGCCAGTAAAATAATCCAATTTATCAATTTTCTGAGCAACTTCATTGGGTCTAACAGCCGAACAGGACACTCTATCGAGTTCTATTTTGGATCATGAGCTACAACACATAGAATGACAGCTCCAAGTTTTATGCGTAGTATGGTCATACGACTGACCAAAATAACTGCTTCAGTCACATACAATGCGCACTGTGCTTGAAGTGCGGCATGAGTGGCTCACATTTTCAATAAATCAATGAATGAGGCACTCAGTTTTATTGTAATATTATATATATTATTGAGGCTACTAGACCACAATATCGGTATTAAAAATGACACGTCCTTCTATAGGACTGCGGACAAGGGACAGTAGCGTTAGGCAAACAATAATTTTTGTTATATTCGAGTACAAAACTGTCACAAACGTCAGTGAAGTTGCTTTGCGACAAGTCAGCTGGGTTCAAAAACAGCTTTCATTATATTTGCGTTATTATATTTTGAAATACACTATTTTTTTTCAGTGTGCGATAACAGACTCAGTGAAATCTGCCTGTACCCTTTATGTAAGTTGTCAATTTAAACAATTATTAAAATGATTGATTGATGCCAGTTGGTTTAAACTAATTAGAAAGTTTAGCCATCTAGAAGGATCACCAAGTACGTCAATAATTGTTTTTTTTTTCAGAGTCAGAAAGTCAAACTTTACTTTTTAAAAAGCGGAGAAGCCAAGCGGTGCTTGCGCACTCAAGCCTGCTGAAAGGCAGAGTAGTAATAGAGTGATGGCGGTTATGATAGTTTCATAGTTATGTGGCGGTCGTGGCCCATAAGTACAAAGGCGAGGCAACTTGAAAACAAAAAACCTTTATTTGAGCGAGCTAGCGCTCATAAAAGAATCGCGTGAAAAACTGTCGGTGGCCTCGAAACGGCCACAATGGTTCAGCGTCGGCGGGAAGAATGCCCACCCTCTTTTCACGGATACGCGTCAGTTTTTCACGTGGTCCCACTGCTTATCAAAAGCATGCCCAGCGCGCGAGTGACAGGACGATGCGCTACCGATGCCACACTTTACGTACATAAGCTGAGGGTGGTGCTGCGCGAAGAAGTGGGCGCCAACACAAACGCACGTGGCAATGGGAGCAGGAAAACGTGCTTCTAATGTAAAAAAAAACTACTTTTCTAAGCCTTCAAGTTCTCTCGAAAGAGTTGCTGAGACTGTCTAGTACAACAATGTCGGCACACCACTTTTACGAAAATCGTTCGCCCTGATGTAGGCCAACGTTGAAGCTGGCGTGTTCTGTTGGCTATCGCCAACGTCTATCACATGATTAGGAAACTCTCATCTACTTGGCTCTACACAGTACTCGAGCTGTCTAAGCAGCCTTTAGAGTGCGTGCATATAGTGCCGAGTGAAGTGCCGAGTGAATGGACTAAGCAAGTAAGGCTGAAAACCAAAGCTAGAGATAGGCTTTGAAACCCTTACGTTATCTGTGAAATGCAAGGACTTAACAAAAACGAGGATTCGCAAATATACTTAGCTGGTTCCAAAAACAACACGGTCATATGTGGGTGACGAAGAAAACGTATGGCGGTGTTACCAAGATATCCCACTCGCCTTAGGAAAGGCAGCTAACTTACGGCAAACCTTCAGCGGGTCCTTCCATCACTTTAAGGCATGCCCAAAAAACCTTCCAGTCGGTAGTCAGGGCTCCTGCGAACTTGTTAGCAAAATGGTATAGTGCTGGCGCAGACCTGGTACTTACAGTTATATCAGATCGTCAGGGATAATTCACTTGCTCTTCACCGGACAAATGATCCCCTATACCCAAGCATATACGCAACCATATACCCAACCGTCATCTACCATAAGTCCAGGAACTTTGGTTGATTTGTGCATCGCCAGCAGCATAGTTACCGCGTCCACCATGACATACCTGCGCTTTGGCTTGAGGTTACGATGAAAACAAGCAGCGCATTCGAAGAAAACAAAAAAAGAAGTGCTCAAGGTCGTGACTCACCCTGACGAGTGGACGTAGCTTCTCGCCTCTTCATCAGACACCTCTACATACGCTGCTTTCAGCACGCTTGCTTGTGCGCGAGGAGAGAGGAAACGCCTGAAACGTGTGACTCCGCTTGTACATTACAGATTGTAAATTTTTTCGCAGGAGTCCTTTCGTGAAGTGACCAAGCCTTTCAATCAAGCCATTGATTGATTATTTCAAAAGTATTTGCAGGCACTTACAGCGAAATCGTTTAGGCTTTTGGTTCGGCAATGTGGTATTAATAAGAAACCGCGACTGGCTATAAGTCACCATGCTATGCTATGATCTATTTACCTGAGCTATCTATCGGAGTGTAGTCATACAGATTTTGATAATGGTACAATAACTATATCAAGCTTAATAAGCGAAGCCTAATTGTCAGTAACAATTAGGCAAAGGGTATTGAAGTCATTTCAAATCTGGACTAGGATAAGTGGCACACGTCTAAGTCCAAACTTATTAGCTATAAAGTAATTAGGTCCAGTCTCATTTGAATCTGGTTATATATTTCAACTCTAATTGATTCAAAACTAATTAAGTCAATTCAACATGGGGCCTACAGCAGAAGTACAGAACTTCAGGAGAAGCTGCTCAGCAGGAAGATTCCAAGTTGCAAGAACATTAAAATTAGCAAGAAGGTCGGAAATGGAAGTGCGAATGGGAAATATGGTAGGGCCACCACCGTCACAAATTGCAGAGTCTTCGCATTTTTGTACATACTGTAGTGCTGACTGTAGACATGCAAGGCCTTCGTTTGTGCGTGAATCATAATTAATTCTGCAAAATGTGAATTTGCAAGTTGATAAGCGGCTCCGTAAGCAACACGTTGAGATAGATGACGCTGATGACGCTGATGGCATTTTAAGGAATCAGATATTACTTGAGAGAATGTAATGCTTTTTGCATACTTGTTACGCAGTTGTGATAGCAAAGACATCTTGTAAGCGTTTTTCCCACGTAAATAGCAATGACAAGAAACCAAGATTGTTTATTCCAAGGGTATTAGCCTTGGCTTATGAATATGATGCTCGTGCAAGAAAACAAAAGAAAATGAGACATCTTTCATGTTAAATTATTCGTTATATTTTCTGTACGTTACAACTGAGTGAAAGTAAATTTCTCGTCCAGTGGGCAAGGATGCATTTAAAACATTTCTTCAGAACCTTAGTTTAAAGGGAGACTCAACCATTTTTTGAAGAAGCTCACGCAGCTTTGAAGGCAGAAAATATGCACTTGATTTTGCCTTACTTGAAAAAGTTTGTGTAGTTTTCTTTCAATACTTTCAGTGTGCCTTTGCCCCAAGTATGATGCGTACGGATACGTCCGCAAAGATGAAGACCGTTGGTACTACAACAACACAACAAACCAATGCGAAAAGCGTATAGCTGTAGCAGGTGGTTGCAACGACTTTGAAACCATAGATCAATGCAAGAGACATTGTTTCAACGCCAGCGAAAGGTCCAAAGTACTTTCGTCTTCAGAGCAACTTCAAGCTATATTCGCTAAGCAATACTGAAAGTACTATTACCACAAGTAATTCTTCCAATGTAACTTTGCTTTGCACACTATAACAGCACATGCGAGTTACCAAAGCACCCAGTACCTCTGTAGCATTCAGAAGCTACTAGGTGCATTTCATACGTCCCTTGCCAATGTTTGCAGATATTTATATAGAAAAAAACGTACCACTGCAGCGTATTATTTATTAGAAAGTCAATTTATTTTCCGAAGCAATAAAAAAGCTGGAAATAACCCTACTACTTGCCTTAGTTGTCTCTGGCACTCGCATCTGGGTATTTCTGTGCCATTTTGTATTTGCTGTGTTAGCATTGTGTTTCTTCTCACAGTCGCCGCGGATATAAGAGTCCACGTACAAAAATGTCGCAGCTGAGATGTACTCCACTAGGCGCCACGGCGATCACAGCTGCTCCCAAGTACACTGCATGCTCTTTGAATGTATTTCAATTCATTTTCAAATAATATTCTGGCAGGTAATTGATACTCATTTTATGTATACCTTGCCAGACATTTAAACGTGTATATCGCATTGCTCAGACGGGTACTGTGAAATCTTCCGATGTTGTGTTAGTGTCAAAACCAAGGATAAAGACGTTATAACTTTATTTCCCTGAAGAAATCACCTTGATTTGTGTATGAGTGACACTATTTTATCTATTTCTATCATGTTTATCCAAAGTAACGTTTCCATATGAGGGCATGATGACATCGGCAGGGTAATTTGATTAGTATTCAAAACAGTTGACTGTTGGGTAAGTTGGTGCTTTGACATATCAACCACCGTGCAGATGTTACTAAACACAACACACAGGAAATGCCTGTCCTCGTCTATTTCTTCCTCTGTGTTGTGTTCAGTTGCACCCTCAGTTTGATCTTTAATATTAGTATCACGCGGCGAATATCAAATAACACTCATATGTTCCTAGTCAGGCCTCACTATAGAGCATTATTCATAATCTAGGCACTTCATATACGCCGTCACATGCAAAAGAATACCTCAGTTATGTGTGTGATTCCGGAAAAAAATCGCAGAATAAGGTTGGATGCGCTACAAAATTACTACGATGATGTGGGACTTCCGGTATGTTTTAGGCTAGTCTAAAAACACACCAGTGCGTGTTCAGAGTGCTTTCCCAGTTTCGTCTGAGAGGGAAATTAGACACAGGTTCAAGGCAGGTCTGGAGTATACAACTATTTTGACGTGTTTCGTTGGGACACAGACTGGAGATTATTTGTGAAACCCGGGCTCCTGCATTTTGGCATGACCACTGCATTCAATTTGGTCCTAGCCGTAATTTCACAATGTTCAGCCCTGTTGCCTGAAGTTACGTTGATGATTGATGTGCGTCGTTTAACATCCAAAAACCACCATATGATTATGAGAGACTCGCTTGAAGTTACGTTGATGATGCACGTTTTATGCTGCAGAAATAAATATAAAGTCTGCCATTCCCCAAGTATATAGTGTAATAGTACATAAGTCTGGTGTGTGCTGGTGTGTTCTATAAATGTGATTATGGCATTAGCTTCATTTTTTTAGTGTTTCAGCTTTGCAATGCATGAGTATGCATGCAGTGTATGACGTTCTTTTGGTGTCTTGTACTGTGGAGTGTTTTCGCAATTATCTATGTGATTGTGTTTGTATATACATATACTATTCATCTGCTGCCCCGGTCAAAGTAAAAGTACAAATATTTTCCGCGCCACGTATGTGCAGGCCTATGACGTATCTAACTTAAAGGGACACTAAAGTCAAATAACAATTTACGTCAGAGTAAAAGCTCAATGTATGACAACACATAAAACGACAATATTTTCAACAACAGTGTCCTGCTTACCGAGAAACTGAGGTAAATGCATAGCAACACAAGCGGCGCAGTGCGGAATTTCTAAAATGATCCCGGTGACAGCAGACAGACCGCCAACAATTATTCACTAGTAATCGATCTAACTGCACTAAATAAAGAACTTTCCATGCATAAAAAGACGCAATAAAATGCTGCTTGTTCGTTTGCATTTTGTTCATGAAAAAAGAACCGATGGACGTTACTACGGCAAATTGCGCGAGTGATTCAAAATTCCATTTTCGCGTGGTTGCATGAAACACGTAGTGACATCTAGCGGGGCGCAGTTGAAACAAAATCGTCTGCAATCTCAGAGCCAATGAAGGCAAATTTATCAACGTCCATTTTTGCTGTTGTGGCTCCCAATGCTTTCGGTCTGCTGCTACTAGCGCAGCAAAGCCGGGCAACGTTGTGCACAAAAACAATGACGTGAGACGGACCGATCGGTCCATTTCTTGAGGCGGGTAATTTCAAGTGTGCTAACCCGATGCGGACCACAAAAACGTGATTTTATTTCAAAATAGGCCTTTGCCTGGCACAAAAGTAAGACGACGAGGTTTCTGGACCACCATTTCAACAATCAACGTTGAATTAATAGTTGACATTAGTGTCCTTTTAAGCTGTGCACCAGTTGGGACGTCTGAGAATACCGCGATTCGAAAGTTCATCTGCACGTACGCCACCAAATCGTATGCAGTCAATCAGCGGCATTACCTTTTGTACGTGGAGAATATTTTGTTCTTTGTGCAGACAGCAAGGCCTGCTTCTATTTATTATTCCTAATATTCGCCTAATCTTGTCATAGTGGGATAGCGAGTGTCGGTCAAATAATTGCTTTGCTGAACTGTCTTCCTTCAACTCGGTTATTAAAGATCTAGTATTATCAAGTATGCATTCAAAAAACAGGCATGAAAACGCCTAATAAACAAAGTGCAAGACGTTTAAGAGAGAGGCTTCATTACATTTTGTTTAAGGCGGTGCACCTGACTGCAATATACCCACCAAAACACATTACACTAGGCTTTGTGGAATCATAATCATTCCAAGAGGCTTCCATCTCCCCCAGAAAACATCACACGATGTTCGCGTATCGCCTAGAACAGACCACATCAGCCTGGTGTGCCCACAAGAGCAAACCACACGATCTTGTCAGAACACACCACACCTTTGTGATGGTCCTATCAGGACGAAGCAGACCAAACTGGTGTGTTCATCAGAAGACACTAGTCTACAATTACGTAAGAATCACACCAACCCAGAACACAGCAAACCTACATTGGTGGGTTTGTGGCTGGGTATAAAAAGCACGCTGCGACTTAAGCGCGTCATTGGCGTAAGTGGCTAGAATGAATACTAAAAGAAACCCTTTGTTCTTGTCATGTTCAGGTGTTTTGAAGTCTGACAACTTATAACTTCCGTTCTTGTGCACCAATATTGGCGGTTCGCATTCATCACAGTATTCATCACTACACACACTAATGCTGCAGAAGGCACAAAAATAATCGGACAGATTCCAGCCTTTTGTCTATCGTATTCATGCGAAGCAGTCGGCGAGTATTTGTCTAACTGTGTAATTTTGGGTCCTTTGTTTCGAGGTGTATTAACGTGGTTTTGTTCGTGCGGTAGTTGTGTGGATATCATGGCCTTCCAAGGCATGTCGACTACACAGGCGTTTGATTGGTAACCAATAGTCTGTGATAACATTAACATGCATGTTATAGAACAGCATTCAAACGAAGTGCACTTTACGGTTCGAAGGCGTGAATATCATGCGTAACTTTAACTGGCGTGTTCGTGTTTTCACAAGCGTGTATAGAAACACCTCCATATAGCTTGCTGAATAATACGAATAGAAATCTAACTTTTAATAGACTCCTATTGAAGCAACGCCCCCCCTAGTACCATAACTGATGCTAGCCCGATGCTATGCATGCACCGAATTATTACATATGTAATGTTTATTGCTTTGCTTTAATATTGAATTGCCACAACTACAACCAACACTGACGTTGCATCAAGATTACTCTGGCAAAGAACTTTCAGAACCTGGCGTGGTTCAGCGGTAGAATAGCTGACTGTCACGCAAAACACCTGAGCTCACTTTTCGCTGCAGTATTATTGTTTATTCGTTACATTCATCGACTCATCAGTGCCAATGCAAGTTTTTTAACGCTGCCACAAGTAAATTAACTACCACTGTCTGTTGTCCAAGTTCCAGGGCAGATATAAACTACCAATCACCTGTGCCGCATACCCGCATACAGCATACCGTAGTTTTGAGCAAATGTCACACATGTCCGAAAAAAAAACACAAAAAGAACAACAACCGGGATATTTGTGGGGTGATTGCTTGAGCACATTCAACGACATAACGCAACAATACCGACTAAACAAACGGTAATACCCACCACCACTCAACAAAGAAATATAAAAACATGCCGTAACTCTGAGATTATTACAAAGAAATACATACCCCAGCCTACCAAGCCTACGTATGTGTTATCCAAGCCTATACCCGATCGACGCGCGTAAAGTGTGTTAGGAAAGGGCACCACTGCAGCATATGCTTTGGGAGTGTGCCACAAAAGTTAATGTCACCGCCACCACTCACTACATTAGGCATGTTAGGCAAAGACAAACTCCGAGGTGAATTTTTGATACTACCACCGCGCGAGAGAAAAGGCCGACCGCCGCCACGGCTGCTGTCAGTGCTACAGATCGGATGCGTCAGCGACACTGCCACTGCGAGGCAGCACTCACCAGCGACGAGCTGGCCGACCAGCTTTGGACGGTCCGGCAAGCCGAAGAAGCTCCCCTGGTTTAAGGACTTGAAGCGGTCGCCTGAGGCACCGCCATCATCATCAAAGAAGGGTGGGAAGGGACCGGGATTAATCCCCTCTTCCCCCCGTCTCAACCGAAGGACACTGACTGACTTTAAATAAAGTTTATTCATTCGTTCATGTTTTGAAGACGTACGCGACAGGATGTTTTCGCTATTCATGTCATGACAAGACACATAAATGTTGTACCCTCTCACCTTTCAAACTAATTTTGGCCTACACCAAGTGAAACAGCCGATCACAAGACCGCGAGGACATTGGCAGATAGATAGATAGATAGATAGATAGATAGATAGATAGATAGATAGATAGAT